TGAGTTCAAGGTAAGCCTGGACTGTATGGTGAGTTCCAGGACATAGACAGTGAAACCCTGTGTCAAAAGACAATCGGGATGAGCTAATTATTTTCCTAGACTTTCTTCCTCATAATATCAATGGCAGAAGTGGTAAAGGGCAGTCACAGGAGGGAGGCTCCTAAGTCTTCTGGGCAACTAAAACATAAAAACTCATTTAGCTCCTTACACTGTTTTTTAATAATGTTACCAAGTGGCACTCTAGACCTAAGACATGAGTGTTGACAATCTTTTGCTGCATCCTAAGTGACAATGCTCACCAAATTGCCTAAGCCCTGTCCCCTGGTCCCTACCCAGCAATACCAACAGTCTTGGCTTGCTGAATTCAGTGTGTGTGTGTGTGTGTGTGTGTGTGTGTGAACTCTTCTCTCTCCCTTCCCATTTTCCCTACTTTGGTTCTCTTACTATAGTTCCAATGTTTCTTATGATGCGTATGAACTCACACCACCTCTATAGGGGACCCTAGTCCAGGACTCTCAATACATGAGAATGAACCTCAAGCCAGCATAGCCTGCTTTTTCCCTCTTTAGGTCTCACCAAGACCCAACAATTCTTAGAATTTTCCCCTGGGTCCTTTAGTTAAATTGTCAAAAATGTAACTTTGAAAAAGTGAAAACCATCCTCCTCTGAACATTGTGGAGATTTACTGACTTCATAAGAGAGAATCACAAGAATGTAACACTGTTTCAAGAACAATTTGAAGGGCAAAGATTTGAATGGACCATCAGAAACAGCTGAAAAAGTATGCTAATTTACAGACCACACTGGTTAACGTGCTAGGAGGCAATAAAATCTTTTTGTAAGAAGAAAGCCATTAGCATCTTTGCCAGACAAAAAATTACCATGTAACCTCATAGAGTCTGGACTGTAATCAATAGCAAATAGTAAGTCAAACAAAGACTATTTCCCTAGAGAATTAAATGTCTTTGGGGCTGGTAGGCAACATTCCAGAATGTTCTGGAATGGCATTGGGAACACGTGAAGTTTGGATTTTTTTTTAAAACAGTCTTCTGTGCACCAGATTGGCCTCGGACTCACTAAGTAGCTGAGGATGAGCTTGACCCTCTGACCCTCCTCGCTCTCCACCTCCTGAGTCCTGGGACTTCAGGCACACCATCTCTGTTTTACGCAAAGGTGAGTATAGAACCTAGTGCTTTTTCCCTGGTAGGAAAGAGCTCTACCCACTGAACTATATGCCTGGCCTAAACATTTAACTGTCCTTCCATAATGCAGTTGATCCCCTGCAGCCCAGGAGATGCTGCTGTGGTATTCAGAAGTCCTACTGTGCTTTAGAGGCCGGGCATTTCCTGCTGGTTCTCAGTTGTCTGAAGAAGGCACCTGTGCAGATAGTTCTGGATTTTGTCCCTGGCCCAATCAGCTGTAAACAGGGATGCTTACCAAGTATGCAGGGCTGCTCCCTCTCTGCAGCTTCCGTGTTAGTTAGTGAGCATTGTTGTATCAAACCACCCAGGTGATTAACTTATAGAGTGGAGATGTTAAATTTTCCCTATAGCTCTAGAGATTTCAGTTGGCCTCTCTGCTTTGGGCTGGAGTTGAGCCTGCACATCATAGTGGGTGTTCTTGGTGTAACAAAGCTACTCATCAAGCTGGGCATTGGTGGCACAAACCTTTAATCCCAGAACTCGGGAGGCAGAGGCAGATGGATCTCTGTGAGTTCAAGCCTGGTCTACAGAGTGAGTGCCAGAACAGGCTCCAAAGCAATACAGAGAAACCCTGTCTCTAAAAACAAAAACAAAAGCTATTTATCTTAGGAGAAGCAGGAAGGATCCACTCAATGACATGGTCTCAGTGACCTAAAGACCTTCCTCTAAGTCCTTCCCTGGAAGCTTCCACTACCTCCCAAACAGAACAAATCTCTGATATGTAGGCCTTAGAGAACATTCAGTTTCCAGACTACAATGTCACTTTACAAGAAGGAGAATAGCCTGGGACAGAGAAGACTCTAAAAGAGGAACAGAGAGCACTTAACACTAGTTAAGACCTCTCTCCCCCCAGGTTGTCCCAGTAGAGGGTGGCATGAACTGAGTGGCAGAAATCCCCAGATAGCCTCCCTTAGGAGCCACAGGGGCAGGTTGAAATCCATCCTGTCCTCATGAAGGACTGGGCCCATGTAGGTAAGAATCACCTCTTCAGTGACCTCCACAACCTAGTGCAGACCTCATGCCAAAACCGCCATTTAGAAGGTTGCAGTAAACGTCATTTTTGGGGGAAGAGACCAGTGAACAATTACACTTTCTAATTCTGCTTGGCTGTCTCCCCACTGGGTTCCAATGGCAGATGCCTTCTCTGTAGCCTTTTTTAATCTTAGCCTAACTAAAGGATCTATTCAGAATAAAGATGCATAAATCCTTTTGTGATTCCAGGAGGAGGAGAGAAGTGCAAAGTGTAATTATAGAATTAGCATTGTCACCAGTGTCCCCAACCAACACTTCAGGTACAGTGACAGTTTCTAACAGCTTCATATAGGGGAAGCAGAATCTCTAGAGCAGACAGAGGGCCTCAGCACTGTGCCTAGATCCCACCTAAGATTTAGAATACACATCATCACCTTACCTTGAGCCTTTGATTCCTGGAGAAGATAGGAAGCAATATTTTCATCTCTTTTTTGAATTCTGTTTTTTTGAATTTTGTTTGTATGGAGGTCAGAGAACACTTGGAGAATCCAGTTCTCTCCTTTCCACCATGTAGGTCCCCATGCTGAAATTCAGGTGACTAGAGTCTGCAGCAGGAACCTTGACTCAGTCACCCAACCATCTCACCTGCCTGAACTTCATCCTCTGAACAGGAAGAAATGGGAACACCATGAGGTGGGGCTGGGGTAGTGACTCTGGGTCTTGAGATCACCATCAACTGAGCACAGGAGAAAACTTCAGCTTCCTGGAAGCTCTGCAGCCAGCAGGCAAGGTACTCAGAGCCACCAAACAAAAACAGCAAACAAACAAATGAAAAAACACAAAGATACTCAGAGCAGCCAGCAGGCAAGGTACTCAGAGCCACCAAACAAAAACAGCAAACAAATGAAAAAACACAAAGATACTCAGAGCAGCCAGCAGGCAAGGTACTCAGAGCCACCAAACAAAAACAGCAAAGGAGCAAATGAAAAACCACAAAAAATACTCAGAGCAAATGAGGAGAGAGTTCTACTCCTGTGGGAAGTCCTTCAGCTTTCAGGTGGGCTCGGCGCTGTCCAATCTGGGTGACTGCTTTTTCAAAGGCTCTGGCCAGTTGTGACTTGGATGCATATGAAGTAGGCAGTTACTTTTCAGCAACGTTTCTCCCTTCAGCTAGGGGATTATAGGAAGCAAAACGGGGAAGACTGAGGATCAGGAATGAGACAAGCTCTTAGATTTTGCTGTGGACCAGCTGTGTGAGGGTTGAGGCTCCTTTTTCCTTCTTTGTAAAATAATAACAATTTAATTAAAACAGCGTCTCTGTGGAGGTGTTACCCGAGGATGCAGTGAAATGGCTGTGTCTGAGAAGCAGAGCAAGCGCCTGGGTGGAAGGCTATCAGTGCATAAGGGCAGCACTGTGGTCAGTCCCAGAGGAGAGCAACCACACATTCCCGAGGAGACTTCCAGGCCGCCCTTCTCTCAGTCCCATTGATCACGGTTTGAGGGAAGGATATTAGGTAGACACAGAATGCAATACACTTGTATCTGTCATCGTAAAAGTCTTAAGATGTGTGAGGTATCAGTGTGCGAATGTGTGGAAGCCAGGAGCCCCTGAGGGACAGAGATGATGACTCATTCATCTTCCCCTCCCAGGGTCTGTCTTGATACCCTGGAGAGTCAATGTCTAAGGTAGGAAACTAGACAGATAAGACAAACAGGGCTCCTCCACAAGGAAAAAACCTTGGCCCTTGGGCCTGGGCCCTGAGGTAGCTCTCTGAGATTAGGGCTAGCAGGGGAACTGACCCCCAACACAGAGTCAGGTTTCTTTGCTGGCCCGTGGGCATTCTCTATACACCAGATCCCCACATGGGGCTGTTGGACTCATTTGAGCAGAACTCTGAGTAAAAGGAATCAGGGGCTGGCCCTCTTCCCTCATCAATTCCAATAATCAATTCTTATCCTCAAACGGCATCTGTTGCTGAGGAAGACATTGATGGTCATGACTTTCTAAAGGATGAAGCTCTTCTGAAAGGCTAGTCATTTGTACTCAGAGCTACCGAGTTTATTTTTTTCTGCCACTTGGCTAAAGACTCTTCACTCCAGTCCTTCTGACCCCAGGGGAAACTGAGTCCTAAGTCCCAAAAAGTATTTTTTACAGCTCATATCTTAAACAGTCCCCAGAGGTCTGTGTATAAAAAGCATGTAATCTTGGGCAGGGCTAGGAGAGGTGGTCAAACCCTTTGAACGTAAGGGTCTCATCAGAGATCTTCAGGTCATTGAGGATTTACAGGACTCTGGCCTGAAGGTGAGCCGTTTTGCTCTGTTATGAGCTACCCATCACTGTCATTCAGCAGAGGACACATTGTGCCATGGCCTGGAACTCCAAGAACCGCAGGTACTTTGCTACAGTGGTGGGAAGCTAACGAACACGGTAGTATAACACAAAGGAGCGCCTAGCATACGCTCGACACCACTGTAGGTACAGCAAGTACGTGCAACCGGAAAAGTCCCGCCCTCTCACAACTTCCTTTTAAGTTAGAGGACAGCGAACGGGTAACCATGGAGCAGTACTTATTACTTGGTAGTCATAAACACTTTGAAGGAAAACACAGGGTGAGTAAGAGGTATGACTACAGGATGCTCCTGGCGATTCTTTGGGGCAAGGCTACTTGTTCAGGAATAGAACCCTGTAGGAGGAAAACAGTACTCAGCCATTAGCCATGGGACTTATTAGAGGCGCATACAGATGAGGTAATAAAAGGGCGGTTTACCACAACGCTAACCACACCCACTTTAGGCATGACTAAAGAGGTATACGGAAGTAGGCAGTCAACTATGTCACTAGCCAGACCCACTTTTGGGCATGGCTAGGGGCATTGCAGAGGAAGGTATAAAAGACCGAACAGCGGAAGTCTCGCTCTTTTTTTCCCCCGGCTTCCAGTTCAGCGGTGGAAAACTACTCGGTTCATCTGGGTTACTTGTTTGTCTCTTGTGAGTAATTTCTACAATAAATACTTATTTTTACTTTCAGTAAGTGTGCCATTTATCTTTGCAACATCAGAACCCAAATAAGGTAAATGAGCAGCAAGCGTGGACAACTGAAGGTCAACTACAAGGCCCTCTGAGCTCTGCAGCTGCAGTTAGCCAAGGCCTGGTTTGGCACTGCCCTCCAGGGTTCCCACCACCCAAGGAAGAACTGGGGCTGGAGACAGGGAAGCACTGTGTAGAGAGCTACCCAGGCCTCTATTCTTGAGCATGGGGTGAGGCAGGAGGACCGGGAGCATCTCCCAGTGGGAGTCAGTGCTCAGGCAGCATTCCATCTGACCTTTTCTGGGTTTTCCAGCTACAAGAGGAAGGCCTGGCTGCTGAGCATGGCAATTCAAGTCTGTAATCCCAGCACTGGGGAGGTGAGGGCAAGAGGCTCAGAAGTTCAAAGTCACCCTTGGATATGTCACCCTTGGATATGCAGCCAAATCAAGGTCAGTCTTACAAAGTGGTACATAGTAAATCTAGTCTGCAGGGTTGTGTTCGGGGATAAATGAGCTAATAAATACAAAACATTTAGAAAACCTGAGACTTAACAGGCACAGATATGATCTTGATATCCTCTGTGTCTCATGTGTATAAGTGTGTATGTGTGTGCGTGTGTCCATGTTAGTCAGCTTCCGTCGCTGTTACGAAACACCTGAGACAATCAGCTTAATTATAGATGTAGTTCATCCTTGGCCTTTTGGATTCTGATCTGAGATGACAGAGTCCTTCACAGCAGGAACCCATGGTGGGGCACAACTAATCATGTTATGGCTACTCAGATGTGAAAACCAGAGGATGTGTGTGGGGGTGGGGAGCTAGCCCCTGGAAGGACATGCCTCCAGTTACCTAAAATGTCTCCCTAGACCTCATCCTCTGAAAGAGCACCACCCCAGGGATGAAGGCTTCAGCATGCTGACCTTTGGGTGACGTTTAAGACCCGGGTTGTGGGAATATGCGCACATGCACATGCGTTACAGAGAAAGAAGTGGGTAGACAAACAATCGATACAGCCTCTCTGACACCAAAATAATTTTTTCCATCACATTTTGTCTGACACTTCCCATGCCTAGCTATCCCAGAAGTAATCAATACTTATTATGAGGTTTTGTGCCCTTTGTCCCATTTGATCATATAAGAGCCAGCACTGACGCGATGGGTGGACGTCTCAGGAAATTAACAATATGCTGGTAACCGCATATTATCAGAGCAGCTACATCAGGACAAACCTGAAGTCACCTGAAATACAGGAGCAGGATTCCCCACAGGTGTAAGAAACTCTCTTTATTTGCTTCTGCTAATTAAAAAAATCAGAACTAAAGATACTTAAACTCCGCAGTTAAAATGGCATGGCTTGATACTGGCTTAATGAATTCTCTTATGAAACCAACTCTGAAATGCTCCCCATCGTAAATTATGAAATACAATCTTCCTTGTTCTCAGGATTAATTTTAAAGATCGGTGGCACATTCTGTTCTATAGATTCTGCAATAATCTTTGCCCAGAAAAAATGGAACACTGACTTTCTGACTACAGGTATATTGCCTACAACGGAAATGAAATACATTTTTTTTCATTTGATTGACATTGTCCTCCATGTTAGTATCTGCTCACTGCCATTCTCTTTAGATGTGGGCTTCTATATGGATCTGCCCATTAGCATTCTCCATCCAAATGCATAAAGAAACAACATTTTTTAAAAAAAACCTAAATGTGGGCTAGGTGTTGGTGGTGAATGCCTTTAATCCTAGCACTCAGGAGGCAGAGGCAGGTGGATCTCTGTGAGTTCAAGGGCAGCCTGGTCTACAGAGCGAGTTCCAGGAAAGCCTCCAAAACATTACAGAGAAACCCTGTCTCGAAAAATCAAAAACAAAACAAAAACAAACAAACAAAAAAAACCCTAAATTTGGCAGCTGGAGAGAAGGCTCAACCAGTAAACACATACGCTGTAGAATCATGAAGACCTCAGTTCGTATCCCAGCACCCATGAGGAAAGCTAAGCATACCCACATGTACCAGTAACCCCAAGGCATAAGGAAAAGAGGTTCACTGGGGTTCCTGGCAACTAGCCTAGCTTCACTTTTAGTGAAAGACCCTGTCTCAAAGGAGCAAGGCATAGGGTGACAGAATAGAACACTCAACATCCCCCTCCGTACTACACACGCACACCACGTAACACATGGCACCCATTTGTCATACAGCCTTGTTGTGTGGAAAGACATCTTCATCATGGTGAGCGTCATGGCATGGCTTGCTTCCCCATCAACTTGACGTAAGTCATCTGGGAGGGGAGAACCTCAACTGAAGAATCGCTTTGACCAGATTGGTCTGTAGCCATGGCTAGGAGACGTTTCTTAATTGCTGATACAAAAGGGTGCCGCCCACTGTGAGTGGTGCCATCCCCTAGGCAGGCAGGCCTGGGCTGTATAACAAGGCATCTGGGCAAGTCAGAACGCAGAATTTTTCTGTGCTTTCTGATTCAAGCTCCTGCCTTGACTTTCCTCAAGGATAGACTGTGTAACCTATAAGATGAGGTAAACTTGTGCCTCCTCAGGCTGCTTTTGGTGATGGTGTTTATCACAGCAACACATCTGTCTGATGGCTAGAAGCCCTGGTTCTCTCCACCGAGCCTCCAGCAGGTTAGACATGCAGCCATCTCAGGCTGTATCTGAAGACAGTAAAAGCACACGCTCCAAGGCTTCTTAGGGTTCAGTCTTGAAAGTTTCCTAACATTGCTCCCCCACCCTGTCTGTGTGTCTGTGTGTGCATGCGTGTTAATTCCATGTCTCACCTAGATTCCAAGGTATCTTTCCCCAAAGGAGAAGAAGCAAAGTTGTGTATGTCTGCCCCTGAGGTCATAGGCCTGTATATAGTGATCTGTAATGTGCATATAAAGTACATGTTTTCCTAAATGGATAGAGACAAAAGGAACTCTGACCATTCATTGCCTGTAATATAAATCTAGAAAGCCTAGGACTATGGCCAGCCTGAGGCAAAGAGGGGCAAAGAAGGGCAAAGAGGACCTGGATGTTCTTAAAAGAAAGCATCATGTCTTTTTATTAAATAATTAATTAATTGGCGTTCATTGTGTGTATGCATGCACATACGTGTGCAGCTGTGTTTGCATACAGAAGCCAGAGGATGTAGGCATCTTCCTCCATACTTCTCCACCTCATAATCTTGAGATAAGGTTGATGAACCCGAAGTTCAGTGAATCAGCTAGGCTGGTTGGCAATGAGTTCTCAAGGTCCATCTACCTCTTCCTCACTGGGGTTACATTGCAGTCAAATACAGGCAAGTCCAGCCTTTTACATGGGTCCTGGGGATTTGGGCTCAGGTCTTTGTTCTCCCACAGTAAGTGCTCTTACCCCCAGAGCCACAACCCTAGCCCCCAAGACTGCACAATCTCTATTTTCAAAGTGTAATAAGCCTAGGCCGCTACCAGGAGGAGAACAAAAGAGTTGATCAGAATCCGGTCTCTGAGCCTCTTCATTTAATCACAAGGAATTTGTGATTTAAGCAGGTCTAGAATTCCCAGGAATTAAAAAGTAAGAGTGCTTATTGTAGTAAATGCCATTTCCATTGCTTGCAGTGTCAGGCCTAGATTTCCATTAATCAGAAACTCCACATCTATAAACAGCCGGAGACAACAGTTGCTGAACTGCTGAACGGCATCACATGTATTATTGATACATGTCTATTGCAGAAAGTGCCAAGTAATCTGGGAAAGGAACAAAAGAAATTTCTCCAACAAACCCATGGCCTGGAGCTACCTATTAAAGGTGCATTCATCAGAGACTTCAACCTCCCAAATCCCCACATGTGACATCTGCATCTCCAGTCTCCCCAAGCTACAGAGATCTTTTTCCTGTATAGTCTGCTTTAAGTCAGGACAGATCTCACGTTGAGATAAGCCATTAGGCTGCCCAGGTCACACTGGACAGGGAGAAGGCAGACCTATCCAAGGAAGCCGAAGGACTTCAAAGAATTAATTGCACATATGACACCAGCTCTGTTGGGCTGCTCAGAAAGGCTGGAAAGAGCATAGGGAGCCCACACAGTCACTGCCAGCAGGGGTGGGGGAGTAACCATTTGTCACAGCTAGAGAGCCCTGGTGCCTGACAACTAGGGACAGTTGGTTTTCTTTTTTCTTCTATATATGTTTTTATTTAAATTAGAAACATGCTTGCTTCACATGTCAATCCTAGCTCCCTCTCCCACCCCTCCTCCCTTGTCCCTCCACCAGTCCTCTCCACCCCCAGGGAGGGTGAAGTTCTCCATGGGGGATCTCCAGAGTGACAGTTGGTTTTCAACCACGCCTCTCAACTACATTTGGACCCACTCTGTCTTGAGTATGGGGCAAATAGCTTCACAGAGAAGCCAACATCAATGAGAAAGTCTCACAAATAATATGATTTATAGACTCTGGAAAAACGTAAATTGCTGATAAGGAGATGAATGTTGATCTTAACTCAGTATAAATTGTTGAGCTTGGCCTGGTGGTACATGCTGTAAGTGCAGCAACTCCAGTGGCTGAAGCAGTTTGAGTCTATCCTGTGCTATGAAGACAAGCATAAGGGAGTAAGATACGGCTCGTCTCAGTGGGAGAGCACTAGCCTAGCACGCATAATGCCTGGGTTCATTTTCCAGTACCATGACATCAGGGTGGGGGCAGAGAGGTGGGATTGTCAAATGACTGGAAATTGGAATTCCCTTGGAGGTACTGTGTCCATAGTGTTGAAAACACAGAAGGAAAAAATAATGATAATAAAAAGAAAACATGCAAGAGTCAACTCTTGTAGAAGCTCTCCATTCACATTCACACGGAGACCGCAAGGACACGAGCCAGGGGCCTGCACTTGTGTACACAGAAGCAACACTCATTCCCATAAAATGAAAATCATTTTTCTTAAAAAAAAAAAGAGATGAGCCCCAAATTATAGACGCAAGGATGAAACAAACTCATGTTCTGTTTCTGTTTCGTTTCATTGCTTTCAACATTATTGTAACAGGTAAAGGTTCTAGGAGGGTAAGTGGAGAGAAATTGTTTTTGTTTCATTTTTCATTTTGTTTCTCTAATGAGAAAACAGATGGGTAAGGTAATCCCTAGTAGAAGCAAACCTGCTTGCAAGTACAATTAAAGTTGTATGGCTTATGCTGTGTGAGTGTGTGTGTGTGTGTATGTATGAGAGTGTGTGTGAGTGTGTGTGAGTGAATGTGTGTATGTGAGAGAGAGTGTGTGTGAGAGTGTGTATGAGTGAGAGTGTGTGTGAGTATGTGTGTGTGTGTGAGATAGAGAGAGTGAGTGTGTGCGTGTGTTTGTGTGTGTATGTGAGAGAGTGTGTGTGTTTGGTGTGTATGTGAGAGAGTGTGTGTGTGTGTTTGTGTGTGTATGTGAGAGTGAGTGTGTGCGTGTGTTTGTGTGTGTGTGAGAGAGTGTGTGTGTGTTTGTGTGTGTATGTGAGAGAGAGTGAGTGTGTGCGTGTGTTTGTGTGTGTGTGAGTGAGTGTGTGCGTGTGTTTGTGTGTGTGTGTGAGTGAGTGTGTGTGTGTTTGTGTGTGTGTGAGAGAGAGTGTGTGTGTGTTTGTGTGTGTGTGAGTGAGTGTGTGCGTGTGTTTGTGTGTGTGAGTGAGTGTGTGTGTGTGTTTGTGTGTGTATGTGAGAGAGAGTGAGTGTGTGTGTGTTTGTGTGTGTGTGAGTGAGTGTGTGCGTGTGTTTGTGTGTGTGTGTGAGTGAGTGTGTGTGTGTTTGTGTGTGTGAGAGAGAGTGTGCGTGTGTTTGTGTGTGTGAGAGAGAGTGTGTGTGTGTGTTTGTGTGTGTGTGTGAGAGAGTGTGTGTGTGTGTTTGTGTGTGTGAGAGAGAGTGTGTGTGTGTTTGGTGTGTATGTGAGAGAGAGTGTGTGTGTGTGTTTGTGTGTGTGTGAGAGAGTGTGTGTGTGTGTTTGTGTGTATGTGAGAGTGTGTGTGTGTGTGTGTTTGTGTGTGTGTTGGGGATATAAAAAATAAGGATGCCCACCCCAGGGCCTTCCACTTCACAGGACAAGCGATATGAAGCACCAGTGCCATCTTTGGAGTAAACTTCATTTCAGTGTCTTGGTCCATCTGTTGTGTCGAATTCTGGATAGGTTTATTTCAGGAGTGCCATCAGATGAGGGTCTTGTACCTGGTGGGGATTCTGCCATGTCCCCAGATGGCACAGAACATAACATGGCAAGAGGTATATAGCTAAGAAAGGAACCCAATTGACTTTCCTGATAGATGTATCGTTTACTTAACTAATTAACCCACAAATGAATACATTTGTGAGGGGCAGAGCCCCATGAACACTCTCTCTCTCTCTCTCTCTCTCTCTCTCTCTCTCTCTCTCTCTCTCTCTCTCTCTGTGTGTGTGTGTGTGTGTGTGTGTGTGTGTAGGTGGTCCTCAGCATTCTAGACAAGATATAATATAAATTCTATTCTCTGGGGTTTCCAGTTCCCTACTACCCCATTCTAATGGAACCAAAGCAGCCAGGGATTTCCCTCAGAACTCCGTGTGCCAGATGGTTTCTTACAGAGACTTCACTCTTCTGTTGCTATTGCTGCTGACTCATTTCATGTTTTTTTAAATCATCTTTACACAGAGACCTCACTTCTGAAAAAATCCACAGGCACTTTCTGAAGGCTACATGGACCCCTGAATTCCCCCACCTACTGTCAGGGGACTAAACACAGCAAAGGAGTCGAACACAGCAATTCTTGGGAAATGGCAGGCTAAGTACGCAGTGAAAGACTTCATAAAATGTGATATTGTCTACCTTCACTTCTGCTGTATGTGTTTTTTAAAACTAGCATCGACTGACTAATTAACTACTGGGAACATTTGACTTCATAAAGAAAGGGTCTTCACAAAAATTAGGGATCGTTTGGGGGAGATGAATATATAAGAATTATCTTAAAGAAAACTGAGTTTCCTTGATCAGCTAGAAGGCATTAGTATCCCTTAGTGGATACATTTTAACTGATAAATATAAACCTGTGTGTGTGTGTGTGTGTGTGTGTGTGTGTGTGTGAGAGAGAGAGAGAGAGAGAGAGAGAGAGAGAGAGAGAGAGAGAGAGAGAGAGAGAGCTAGTTTTTCATGCTATTACAGTGGAAAATACGTTCTCAAGCTTTTAAGAGAAGAAACAAAAGCCACTGTCAAGATCTTTGGTAGCCTTCTGGATGTTTTATAGCCATCATGGGATGCCAGCTGTCATTCAGCCCAACACTTATTCTGTGCTAAATCTGAATAATAACAATGAACACTCAGTCAGGCTGTTATCAATTGAGAAAACAAATGACCATATTCATAAACTAAGCGTTCCCTCTCTCTTGTCAGACACAAACATGTGCTAAAAGGTGCTTTCCTTTAACCAAAACAATTTTCTCCCAGGAATTAAGCAGACCTTTAAATGCCAGTCTTCTATCCTGCCAGGCACCCAGTAAGAGTTACTGTGCCGTGCCTGTGCGTTGGCTAGCCAGTCTGTGGGAACTCGTGAACTAGGAGAAGGTGGTGCATCACAGGGCATTTTAGCTCTCTGGTTGGGCTTTTATGGGAAGAACAGCAGGACATTAGAGCACTCGGGATGCTGCTCACTGGAAGTATCTGAGCAAAACTGTGAAGCTTAAAGTTCACAGAAGCAAAGTATTGACACTGAGAGGATGGGGGTTTCTGGAGATGGAGTCATCGTCACACTAACTGTATAGAACCAGGGTAATGAGTTGCCAAGCTCTCCTGGGATTTTCTGTAGTCACAGAACTGTCTAGTGGTGCCATGCTTTGCACACACATCCTCTCCACACAGAGGGACTTAAAGGAATGCTGAGTTATAATCAGAATCATGTTTGGTGAATGAAGACCCACAATGAGAGATGTTGCACAAATTTATATACCCTTGACCAAAGACTAGTCTTCCTATCAGGGAAGGAAGGTGGTCTTCTTCTAGTGATCAAACAGCTTCGGGAGTGAAAAGGGACTCCTGCCTAGCCAACTTGACCAAATGAATCAACCCTGGGATCAATGTTGCAGCCAGATTTCCCTCACATCCTAATTGGATACATTTGTAAAAATGTACCTCAGTTGAAATAGCATGAGGTACCCCTTGTCATAAGATTATCTTGTTCAATGGATCAGTAACATTGAAGACATACAATGAACACTCTGCTTTGGACAGTTCCTGGTTTTGTGTCTTGATTATTATTTTTTTTTGCTACAGTAAAATACACTGCCAAAAGCAACTAGACCATAAAAGGTTTACTTTATCTGAAGGTCCCAGAGGGACACAGTCTAGCATGGCCAAGATAACAATGCAGTGGGTAAGGAAGGTTTGATGGCAGGAGCAAGGGCTGAGAGGTAACGGTGTACCACTCCCAGGAAGCAGAGGGGGGATAGCAATTGTGGCCAGGGTATAAAACCTCAAGTACCACTCCCAGTAACTCACTTCATCCAACAAGGTTACACATCTTGAATATTCTGTAACCTTCCCAAACAGAGCCATCAGCTGGAGACCAAGTCTTCAAACAGGTGAGCCTATGTGAGACGGTTCACATTTAAATCATGTATATCAGAAGGTTCATTAACTGCTGATTAAGTCTTGCATAAAATCAGAATCCAGTTCTTCCTTTTGTAGGTGATTCTCCATGTCTCTGTTCTAATTTTGGGCCCTACAGTTATGACATGAAAGTTGGACAATCCAGCAGCAACCTGCGGTGTGGGAGCTATCCGTGGTCCTGAAGTACTATTCTTGTCCTTGAGATTCCCTGGGATCCTAGTCAAATCTCTCCCTGATATTTTAAAACTCCTGTTTAACACCAGGACAGATCAGGCTCAAGGAGGAGATGAAAGTTCTCTACAAAAGATAAAACCTTGATGCCATGCATGAACAATATGTTCATGGTTATTTATAAAACATTTCATGAAGGTGACACATTGGAATGCAAGGAGCTACAAGGAAAAAAAACTGTGATAAAATAAGATTTAATTTGCCCTCTAATTTTGTGGCATAGCAATAAGCTAACCAAATTCAATGGGATGCCTCAATTTGTAGACACATAACTAGATAGCAGAACCTACAACCAGAAAAGGATTGAATTTTTAAACAAATTCGAACATATAAAGTGTTTCCTATTTCTATATGTGGTGGTGTATGCTTACAAGCTAGGTGGTTTGGAAATTGAGGCCACCCTAGGAAAAGTAGAGAGTTCTAGGCCTCCCTAGATGCCATACTAAGCTTAAACAACAATAATGTGTACTGATGATATTCTCTGATTGCAATGCAGTGCAGTTAGAAATTACATCATGGACATTTTAAGTTCCCTCCTAAATAATTATTGTGTCAAAAGGAAATCTAAACAAAATTTACAGAATATTTAGAGAACGGGGACAATAAAAAAGGCTTATGAAAAACAACTATAGTAGAATGAAAATAAATTATTGTTTTGAAAAAGCTAACGAAAGATTACTGTGAGGAGAGTGGCAATGGTATAGTGATAAAATATGGAAGCAGGGACTAATGCATTGGGAAACAAAGAGGGCCAATGCATACATCAAAAGCTATAACTTTGCAAAGAGGAGAGAGGAGAGCTCACTCCAAATGAGCATTCTCTCTCTCTCTCTCTCTCTCTCTCTCTCTCTCTCTCTCTCTCTCTCTCGCTCCCTCCCCCTGTGTGTGTGTGTGTGTGTGTGTGTGTGTGTGTGTGTGTGTGTGTTGGGAGTAGATAAGAGAATCAGAGAGAACTCAATGAATGAAGTCAGCAGGAGAGATAAAGATACAGTGAGATAATCAGGAGACCAAAAAAGGTCCCATTCATATCTTTTCAACTTTTGTGAGTTGCCAGTAAGATCATTTTCTCTGGAAGCCTGAGAAAACAATTCTCCTGTCTGCTGTCTGTCCACCCCACACCATTCACAGGTGGTTCATGCTTCTTCCGTTCTCAGGTAACCAGCTCAGGAGGGCTCCTTATTTTCATTATGTCTTTTTGAAATAGTTATCATTCCCCTTCTATGTAAGAAACCACCATTTATTGCATCCCTACTGTGGATCAAATGGAACATGAGAGATTGGCAGGCATATTCACTAAGTGCACCAGATCTTTCGTATACTCTCTGTGTATAAAGAAGTTGGAAATCATTGGGTTTAGGTTCCCTTTTCAGTATTGCATGGCTTGTGATTCTAACTGAATTCTCTGCTTCAAAATTCAGTTTTCCTCATGATGCTATACTGCCTCTCCATGGATAGAGATAGCACAGTCACAAAACCTGCACACTGCTGGCAAGTCCTTGAGAAGGAAGACTAAGGTAACTATACAAACATGAGTCACAAGTTCTCAACACCAACTTAAATAACTCTCTGGGGGCTAAGTTCAAACAAGTAGGTTTTATACAGCGGACTCAAGGAGACCTGCTCATATGCAGTTCAAGCACTTCAACAAGCTTAAATCTGTGTGCTATCTGTTCCCACCAGGGAACAGAAGAAAGGGTTGCATTCTCCAAGAGTTAACTAGGAGGACTTGAATGAAGGTCTATTACAGAGCCAGGAAACTAATAAGCAATAGGTACTAGGGTTTGACTTTGTGGGCTACCTTCTTGGTCTCTCTCCTCTCTGCATCTCTCCCTGTATATCTCTTTATCTGTCTGTCTGTCTGTCTGTCTGTCTGTCTGCTCACTCTCTGTTTCCATAGAGGTCTCTCATTGGCTTATATCAACCAGGATAAAAACAGCAGGGACACCTGAGTGGGGCACTAAGTCAAGATTAGCCTCCTCCAGTATCCTGCACAGAGGACAAAGGTAAAGAATCCATTAGATGGACAAGCACCCTGGCAGAAAACCCAAATCAGGATCTGTTAATGCACTCTTCACATAGACTCCACTTGTTTGGCCCTTGGGATAGAACAGGGCTTTGTGAATGTCAGGTCAGTGCTCTCCCACTGAGCAGTGTCCCCAACCCGAAGTTCTGCATCATGTTTCTCAGGAATCAGTCCTGTGGAGGCTCTCCACAAAAAAGAACACTTCTGGATGTCATGTTCAGTCTGAAAGCCTCACAGGGACGGGAACTTAGGCTGATGGAAAGAGCCAGTTCACCTGCCAACCACTGCAAAAGCTAATGAACGTAATGTCGGGAAGAACAGAGTTGGGTAAGAAAAGTATAAAGCCTAAATTAAAGTGGTCCAGAAAGCAGACATGGAATATGCTAGGGAGAAGAATTCATTTCAACATGATTAGAAAGATCCTTATTTCTAAAACTGTCTGTGGCAGGGGATGAGGTGGTACCTAGAGAATTCAGTCATGGGCAAGACTGCCACCTGCTGCTGGGGCTGCTGCAGTAGCAATGTCAGAATTGGGCAGAACTTTAGGCTTTTCCTAAGGGCTCTAAAACTCTGACTCAGCATCCCTCTGCCAGGGTCAAACCAAGAACCACTTAGACGATTGACCAAATTGTTGGCCCATGAAAGCAGGACTGCAAAGTCTGTGCTTCCTAATTTATTTTCTCTGTTATGGCCACTTGAGCATGAAACCATTAACACTCCCATGCTGTTGTTCCTATCTTAAATATCCTCAAAGACCCTTGTGATCAAGATTCATTCCCTATTCTGTGGGCTCAGTGGCGTCTTTTAGAGGAGGGGCCTAAGGAGAGGAAGTGAGATCTATGGAGAATGAGCACTTGTCATGGATATTGACAGTTCAGCCCCTCCCCATCTCTTTGCTTCATAGGCACCATGAGATGAACATCCTTTTTTCTGCCATCATGCTGCCATAGACCCAAAACACCAGGAA